TTTTAGAATTGCTGACATTTTTACTTATTGAATGTTGTTCTTTGCGGGACCATTTCCAGATTAGGCTACTCCAGAACAAAGTGAAGAGAGGTGAATGCAGACATACTGGGCAGCAATCACCTGATAGATACGTGCGCATATCGTTCAAAAGTCGAATATAGAATAAATGCATTTGATTGGTAAACCAAATTCAGACTTTACGTTTCAATCTCAAATGGTAATGCATGGAATTTACGGAAAAGCTCAACTAAATAACAGCGCTAATAAGTGGGGGGCGTGGTGGCTTTGGTGATCGGCGCTCCAGTCAATCTACTCCACAGCCAATCACGGGCCCCCTCCTTGCTCGGGCCCCGGGGCTTCAGCCCCGCCTAGCCCTATGGTTAAAACAGCCCTGAGCACAACACTGAAGTGATTCCTGAACAAACAGTTCCAATTAATCCAACTAATCAACCATGTGAAATATGGCATGTTATTGTTTGTTTATTAATAAACTGCAATTATGGCACCTCTAAAAAGACTGTAAAAAGATATTAAAAAGTCTGTATAAAGTAATAATCGCATCATTTAGCAATTAAAATAAATGTCTTTATTCCAAATATTTATTCATTACAAGTATTAAGAGAATTATTATGAAGAATCAGAATCATTAAAATCGTCACAATTCCGGTCCCTGTCTGTCAAATTTGATTCTGTGATGCTCTACCTCATTATTAATGATGAGCTCAATGGGCCCATGAACCAACTGCTGAAGCACAAATTCGTGGCTCTGGTCAGAAACAGCATAAGAAACTGCTGTTCCCAAGATGCTTTTCGCAGGCTTGATCCACATGCAGGCAGTCAGAGCGGGGAGGGCTGGGATTTCCTGCTTTACGATGGCATACATGGAAGAGCTGCGTACAGGGAATGAGAGCCTGTAACCCTCTGGAAACTTGTTCTCAGAGAGACCTGTGAGAAAAATGTGAGAAATAGAAACAAGAGAAACAACAAAAAATATAAGCTGCGTTTAAAGCATAGAGCTTAAAGGGATAGTTCACCCAAAAATGAAAATTTGATGTTTATCTGCTTACCTTCAGGGCATCCAAGATGTAGGTGACTTTGTTTCTTCAGTAGAACACAAAGATTTGTAACTCAAACCATTACAGTCTGTCAGTCTTATAATGGAAGTTAATGGGAATCATGGCTTTGAAAGTAAAAAAAAAACATACACAAACAAAACCAAATTAAACCCTGCGGCTAAAGACAAGAAACTGAGCAGTATTTATATAGTTTTTTACCTCTGCTGCACTGCAATGTCTGAACTGTCCTGAGCGCGTCCTCACAGCCGGCGCGTGACGCGTCTTCTTCTTGCTTTATGGCGGATCGCAGACTTATAAGTGTATTACCGTCACCTATCTCTCAAATGGACCATTGACACTCCTAATTGAGATTGTAGATAGAGTGTCAGTGGTCCATTTGAGAGATAGGTGGTGGTAATGCACTTATAACTGTAACTCAGGACAGTTCAGACATTGCAGTGCATCAGAGGTAAAAAACGATATAAATACTGTTCAGTTTCTTGCACGGACCGATCGTTTCGTGTCTTTACACATCGATGTATCGTCACGAGCCGCAGGGTTTAATTTGGTTTTGTTTGTGTATGTTTTTGACAGACTGCAACGGTTTGAGTAAAAAATCTTCGTTTGTGTTCTACTGAAGAAACAAAGTCACCTACATCTTGGATGCCCTGGGGGTAAGCAGATAAACATCAAATTTTCATTTTTGGGTGAACTATCCCTTTAACTTGTTTTGAACTCAGAACATTCCTTTAATTAATTATTATAATTCATTTATATTATACATTCCTTTGTCCAACCGCAAAATGAAATTCTCTCATCATTTACTTAGTGTCATGTTGTTTCTGTTGTTTCAAGTAGATATTTTAGAGAATGCTGGGAGCCAAACCACAATGGAGCCCACTGACTGCCATTGCTGCCATTGTAAAATAAATTAATAAATAAATACAAACTAAAAACACTGCGGCACTCAACACTTAAAATATGTTCCTTTATATTCCACAGGAGAAAGAAGAAAGTCATAGTTTTGGAACAAAACATAAGGGTGAGTAAACACTGACACAGTTGTCATTTTTGGTTGAACTATCACTTTAAGAAGCTCTTGGTAAAATCAGTCTTTTTAATCAATATTTCTTCCAGCAGTAAATCCAACCTCTGCCTCACCTTTCTCCAGGCTGCTTATCCGCTGGTGTACAGTGTCCAGCCCGTACTCAATATGCTCTTGATGTTTCTGTGTCTCTTTCCGCAGTGCTTTCCTCTCCTCCTCCAGCAGTTTTATCTTTCTCTTCAGTTCTCCTTCCAGATCCTCCACTCTTCTCTGCGCAGCTGCCATTGGCATACGAGTAGCACCTGCTGCTTTCTGTGAGCTTGTGTCTGTGTGATTGAACGCTGGTGGTGCCATTTCAGACTGTAAACAAGACAGTAATCATATGACATTTAACTTTAATAGCATGTAAAATCAATATTTTGACTATTTGATGTTCCTGTCATGTGCATAGTGACATACGAATCACATTAATTCATTTTTATACACATAAATACAAGCTTTTATTTCTCAAAATACAATTATTAACCTATTTTCAGGTGTAACTGTTATGCATCATGCAATATACTGCAATAAACCAAACCCTCCTCAAATTTAAGATTTCATGATGCATCATATCAGGCTGGATGTTGAAAGAGATATTTCACCCAAAATGCAAATTCTGTCATCATTTACTCAAGGGGTTCCAAACCTGTTTAGTTTTTTCTTCTGCTGAATACAAAAGAAGAAATTTTGAAAAATGTTGGTAACCAAACAGTTTCTGGTCCCTATTGACTTCCATAGTATTTGATTTCTCTCTCTCTCCATACTATGGAAGTCAATGGAGACCAGAAACTTTTTGGTTACCCACATTCTTGAAATATATTCTTCTATGTTCAACAGGTTTGGAACAACTTGAGGGTAAGTAAATGATCACAGAATTTACATTTTATGTGAACTATCCCTTTAATTTCAATTAGCAATGTCTTTGATTTCAGGCAGAATTACTATAATGTGATGCTGTTGCTTACTGTGGTTGAAAAGTAATTATATTGAGGTAAAGATTTTGGTTGAAAATTAGTGAAGCCCCCCATTTGAGTCCTCTATGTATCCTAAAATAGTCCTCTATATAAACTGTCATATAAAGAGCTCTAAAAAGCCATTGACAAGGTACTCAAGAGAAAGGCAAATAGGTAAAGATAAATAACCATGATCTCAAATACTGATGCTATGATACAACCAGCTGCTTGAACTGGTCCTTTGTTTGTTTATCAGGAACCAGTCTAACTGTACGAATTGCAAATGGGTTCTTTAGAAAGCTGCCGGTGTGGGTCAAACTCTGGTGCCAAAGAGGTGGAGCAGCTGGCAGAGGTGTGATAAGCTGAGAGAGTCAGTTAGGAGATCACAGAGGTTCAAACGCTCCACCACGCACCACTTTTATGGTTTCGCTAAAGTGCTTTCAATGAACAAATAAAACACACTTCCACACTCCTTCCTTTCTATTCCTGCTATTTCAGGATTTGCCAAAACAGCCACACAATCTCAATGTCATGGTCATGAAGCTTCTACTTTTAGCTATTTGCATACAATAGGAGTCTGCACTATTCCATTGAAGGTGACTGTAGAAATAGGGCAGATCGGGTGGGGGGTTCCATATCCTTAATACAGCAGAGGGACTTGCACTATTGCCCCTGCCCATCCCACAATCCTCTCTGCTCAGTCACTGAGATCATAGCACTGGAGGACAGTTAGATCTGCGCTCATTTGCGGTCCAGGACACTCTTCCTTCCTGGCTGACAGACAATAGAGGGGGTAAACATGACTCCACCCTCATCCTTCCCCGCACACGACCGCACGAGTGTTGTCCCCCACCTCTCACCCCTATGCTCCTCATATGCACTTACAGCACACACAAAAGGAAGGCCAGCTTTTACAATGCACTACATCGGGACAGACGCAGTCAGGGGATGGCATGTTTATGAATAGGGCCAGGTTTATGGAGGATGTAACATCTTTGGGCCCAAAGTGAATCAATGACGTTCACAGCTCTCCGGCAAAGTCCACAGAGAGCAATCTATTGTGATAATGTCGTAGCCCTGAGGTGCCGGCGGTGTCAAACCTGGTGTTGGTGTCGAGACCCTACCCATCTCTCGCATTTCACTCAGGCAACCCAACAGCACTGGAGCTTTTACAAATACTAGCAGCAGCCCTATGGTCTCGGGTGGAAGTTAAAAGAAAGGAATATTTTAAATAATCATTAACATACCTGTTCATTTTACAGAAAGAAAAAAACAAACAAACATTGCTAACGCTTTATTTTAAGGACCAATTCTCACTATTAACTAGCATGCATATTACTAGCATATTGACTGTTTATTATTATTTATAAAGCACATATTAATGCCTTATTCTGCATGACCATATTTTAGATACCTTAATCCTACCCCATACGTAAACTTAACAGCTACCTTACTATTAATAATTAGCAGCATATTAGGAGTTTATAGGGGCAAAAGTTAATAGTTAGTTAATAATGAGAATTGGCACTTAAAATAACGTGTGACCAAAACTTTTTTGTTTTGTTTTTATTGTTATTTTATTGTTTTTTATTTTTGTTCATATTGATTTTAGTTAAAGTTTTAGTAATTTTATATTTTTTTATTCATTTTTATATATGTATATTTGTGTCTATATAGTTTTTAGTTTAGTTTTACTTATTTTAGTACAAGTTCAACTAAATAAAATTAAAAATATTGCTGAAATAATAGTTAAATGATAATAATAATAGCTATACAAGTTTTATTATTATTATTATTATTATTATTATTATTATTAT